CAGGTCCCACCAGCTGAGAATCAAAAATCACCTTCCTATACCAGCAAGAAAAGGATTCTCTGAAAGAGAAGATTCCACTCACAGAGACTGCTCCTGTGATTGCTCTTTGCTTCTTTCTGCCTTACTATTTATTGATGTAAAAACGTTTGTTCAGCTCTTAATGGAATCAGCCTTTGACCAAAAATCCAACAATAATCTTTTGGTAAATAACTTATTTAACATTTTCTGTAATGTAAAAGATGTTTTTTTTAATATTTATTACAGAAAAAAAGGTACTGGAGAAAGTGAAAAATCCAGATTTTTTTTTTTTTAAAGTTGGCTCATTTGATATTTTATATTTGTACTTGTCCTGTTAGAAAACTATTTGTTGTTATAAACAGGTCCTGAAAGAATCACAGATGTGATTCACCTTCCACACTGTTTGTCTACTGCTAAAAGAAGGTAGGTTAAAAGAATAATAATGCTGGCAGTTGTCATTGTTTTGTAGCACTGTGAGAAATGTTCACTATTTTATAGCATTTTAAACTTATCTGAAAGGTCCTTCTGGAGCTTTCTTACCTCCCTGTTAGAAACTTAGGTCGATGCTAAGTCTGATGGTGTTACTTAGACAATTAAAATTGAACATCATCACAAATGTGTTTGTGTTTAACCGTTCTATGACTCTTTGTTCAGTGAGTGCTCAGAGTTGGAAGGGACCTTAAAGATCATCTAGATCCAAGCCCTGCCACGGGAAGCCACATTAGAATGGAATGAATCCAATTCAGTCCTTCGTGATATGTCTGTAAGGTACAGACAAGGCTTGTTCTGGCTGAGCTGGGATGTTGGAAACTTGCTTTCAACAACACTGAATACAAAGACCTCGTGCTGTTGGTAAAACATCAGTGTTACCCCGCACCTCCACTGGGATCTGTACAGAGATGCAGAAAGCCATGAGGGACACAGCCCGACAGGTTTGTAATCCATTTTTGTCCTAAAAACACTGAAAAATGTTTCATAAATTCAATTAAGTCCTTTACTGGGGTTTTTATGTCCCGTATTGATACATAGAAGTGGTAATTTGGCAAGGCCAGAGAACACAAGCATAAAACATGCCTTCATGCTCTTCTCATGCTGACTGCCTGCAACCTGCTCTCAGTGTCACTAAGTAAGTGAACTGGGAAGGTGGTTTAACCCTAAAAAGACCATAATTTAAAGTGATTTTCCTGTTACAAAATAATTTCATGGTACAATCATGGCTTTACTGAACTAAGTGAATTTCTCACTAAGTGTGATTTTTACTCTTTTTCCCCTTGATGATCTCCCATTATAGTGGATAATTCACCCTCATCATCCAAGGTTAGCACCAGGTCTCGGAAATCTCAGTGCAGGTTTGTGGTTATATTGGGTATAACCTGATCTAATGTCCTTGGATATTGCACTCTAGAGAATAACCAATGTGTAGTTTCACAACAGTCAATCTGTGCTTACTTAAACTGGGCTGTGAACACAGATAGCTCTGACACCCACTGAGCTGGCCACGAGACAGGAGCCATTTCAACTACTCTGGTACTACATGCACAACATGTCGAGGACCAAGCCAAGCCAGAATAGCTCCTTCCACGAAAGCTTTGGTGTGTTCAAATGGTTTCCCAACAATTTGATGATATTCAGACAACTGAATACCAGAAAGATGCTCTAAAGCACTTCGGTTCTAAATCACAGCTTGATATTAAGAGGTCAGAGCTGCATCCTCCCTTTGGGCAGCCCTGTGCTCCTAAGCTTAGCTGGACACCATTATAGAGTCATAGAATGGTTTGGGCTGGAAAGGACCTTAAAATCATATAGTTCCAACCCCCTGCCATGGTCAGGGATGCCTCACACTAGTCCATGTTGCTCAAGGCCTTGAACACGGCCAGGCATGGGGCAGCCATAGCTTCTCTGGACAACCTGTGCCGTGAAGCCTTCTGAAGGATGAAAATGGATTTAATAGGAGATCCCATGGTCTTCTAGAGGTGTCATGCTCTGATCTACATTATGTGCCTTGGATATCCCAATATACAGCTCTTACCTGAGTTAGCCTGAGCATCCATCTCACATTGTGGCTGCTGGGACCTTGCACCTCTAGTCCATGGAGGGAGATGAAAGCTCAGTAACACCACGTCGTTGTCCTTAGCTGACAGCAGGGGGAGGCCAACTCCTTCGTCTGGATGAGGGGAAAGATGCCAGGAAAAGAAAAGTGGGGAAGTTAAAAATAAACTTTGCAAATTGACAAAAAAGGGGGAGGTAAGGGAAGAGCCGATGCAGTCGAACTCCTTCTTGAGTCTCTTCACACATTATTGTCCTCACAGCTCACTAAAAACATCGAGTTAATTTTACTAAGTAGCTAAATTACAGACACTCAGATGCAATCAGAACCTGCTATACATTCCAACTCACAAAATTAATCACCCCACAGTCTTGAGTTACACCACCTGAAGGAAGCAGCTGTACATCTATATATAGTGTTCCCCTGTCTCTTGGTCCTCTTGCAACCTCTTTTTTCCCCCCTCCATACCATCTGTACTTAAATAATCTGATTAAACGTTTCCCTTCCCTGCCATGATTTGCCACTTATTTCTTCATGGTCCCCGCTGTGCCCTCTTCTCCTGACCCCTTTTTCCTTCCTTCCCATCAGCTCTGATTGCATCCAGCTCCCCATCAGCGTTCGCACCCTGCAATGTGCTGAGCAGGTCCCATGGGAGGTGGGTGCTGCTGGGGAGTTAAAATACAATCTATAGTGTATCATCACCTCTTTAAAAGCAGATAATCCTCCAAGATCCAAGTATTTCATCTTAATGAGAAGTGCCTCTTAACCACACGTAATTTACTGGGCTGGTTTAATAATAATTAAAAGAAAGAAGGAAAAACACTTCCCAGATGGAGCAGAAAAAGCCCATGGAGTGTTAAACGTGGTTCCCATTAAGCAAAATTGCGTTTTCCCCCTTAAAAATCATTATGCCCAAGAAAAATAAGCAGTGTAAGCAAATGGCATTGTAAAGGAGGGGCTCATCTGCTTCGTGAGCTCCTGCCTGCCTCTGCTCTCATTAGATGTGCAAGGTGAGGGGAGACATTCATTGCTGAGAGGTCAGGAACCAGCACTTGAGTAGGTGAGGGGAGAGGCTCAGGGCCGGTGCCATCTTTACCTGTGACCTTGAACCTCCCCGGTGTTGCTGTGTGCAGCAAAGGGGCTTTCTCAGAGAGGATGCTGAAGGGAAGAGATGAGAAAAGGGAAAAGAGAGATGGGAGAAAGGGAAAAGAGAGGGAAGAGGAATAGGAAAGAGGGAAGGTAGGAAAGGGAGGAGAGAAAGGGAAGAAAAGGAGAGGATAAAAAGGAAAAATAGAGAAAGAGGGGGGAAGAGAAGGGAAGGGAGGGAGAGAAGGGAAAGGGGGGGGGGGGAAGAAAAAGGAGGGAAAGGGGGTGCGAAGAGAAGGGGAAAGGGGGGAAGAGAAGGGGAAAGGGGGTGCAAAGAGAAGGGAAGGGGGAAGAGGGGGGAAGAGAGGGAAAGGGGGAGAAAGAGAAGGGAAAGGGGGAGAAAGAGAAGGGGAAAGTGGGTGAAAGAGAAGGGGAAAGGGGGGGAAAGAAGGTTTTCTTCCTTCTCTTTAGGCCCCTAGAACATGTGCAGCTCCACAGCAATAAAGGAAGTATTAGAGCAGTGCATTAACGACACATGCATCCCTGGTGCTGCCAGCCAGCCCCGAGCCATCCCTTCAGTGCAGTGTGTCCAGGAGCCTGCGCCTGCAGCTTAAGACCAAGGCTGTAATTACCTCTGCCAAGAGAACAAATAGGAACAGTACCCAAAGCCTCACCGGTGGGTGGCTGTATTAGACATAAATCAATGCTAATGCAGTCGGGCGCTTGGAACAGCGGCGCAGCAGAGCCGGGCAGTGGGTTAATCTCAAGAGAAGCTGACAGATCCCATGGGAAGCTCTGTGGGATGTGTCTGCCCAGGAGGAGAGGGATGGATCTGTGATGGGACTGAACTGTGATGGGGATGGGGCTGTGGTGTCTTGGAAAGCCAAGCAGAGGGGACCCCAAGTGTAAAGCCACTCAGATGTAGGCAGAAAGCAAGTCCTGTCGGTGCTTGTAACTGCAACAGAAATGATCTGAGAGGAAAGATAAAGTAGGAAAACCCTTTAGAATCCTATTGCCACCACAGCCCAAGTCACAGCAGCCAAAGGCCGACCTCCAGCCACCCTCAGATGTGAGTCCATGGGTTCCCAGAGCTTTTCCACCTGGATAAGTGCTTAAGTCCTGTACCTGGAAGCAGACACATGGCTTTGCCTGACCCTTTGAGGTCAGGCAGCTCATAAGCTGCTTGCATTAAAGCCATTTTGATGCACCCTAGCAAGCACTTGGGGTGATCTGCGCCTCCAGATGCAGGTCCTGCTCTGGATGGGTCAAACACAGGCAGCATCTTGGGGGCTGTCATGCTCTGGCTTAGGGAACTCCATCACTAAGCTTCCCTTATGGGCAGTGCACTGGACACAGCCTGGTACCCTGGTCTCATCCTCACTTCTGTAACAGCATGGGAAAGAGCTGCTTAATAGCATCAATACCCCCCCGCCAATGCATTTATCCCCTTCCTACCCTTCTCCATCACCACCTTGGCTGCCCAGGTCCATGTTTGAGCCTGTCTGGAACAGCCACTAGATGGCAAAAGCAGGTTGTGCTGGAGGAGAAGCGGGGCTGCAGCGTGGGGAGCGGGCCATGGACCACGGCACGCAGAGCCCAGCATCCGCGGCCACCGACCCTCCCCTGCACGAAGCTGCTGCTCTGGGTTTGTGCTTGGTCCTGCTTGTGGGAAGCTGAAATAACCCCAAACACACGGTGCTGGGCATCGTGGAATGGTTTGGGTTAGAAGGGACCTTAAAGCTCATCCAGCTCCAACCCCTGCCACAGGCAAGGACACCTTCCACTAGAGCAGGTTGCTCCAAGCCCTGTCCAACCTGGCTTTAAATGGCATTAAGATGAGATCTGAAGCCAGGCCTTATTCTGTATTACTTAAATGGAATAAAACCCCGTAGCAAACAGTCTTAAAATGTGCCTTACATCGAATCACAGCCATCCAGAGGCCTCTGTACAGTTATCAGCATACTTGGTGCTTGCTGAAGTTTTGGTACCCATTCCCCTTGAGGCAAATCAGAGGCCCCTTTTCAACAGGCTTTGGTTTCTAAAGCAGAAAATGCCTATGGATGCTCCATCTTTGGCAGCACCAAACTGGTTACCTCTACCTGCAGCAGCATCCCCGCTGGGTTGATGGGCCAACCCCTCATGCTCCAGCCCGAAGCTAAAGCAAATCCCGCCCCATCTGCTCCTAAAATGCCATTTCTCTCCACCCCCAAGTTTAACACTACTCCCAAATCAGCATCTGCATTTCCCACCATGCTGCAGAGCTCCAGAGGGAATTGCTCTTGGAGACGGGCAATGGGCTCCTGCCTCTCCTGCTATCCTGCAGTGCATAGCTCAGAGTTAGCAAGGGTGAAGCACACATGGGGAAGCGGCTTGGTCACTTTATACACTACAGAAGGAAAGGCTGCAGCATCTGCTTGCAGCTTCTCTCCTACAGGGAGGGGAGGCAGCGTCCAAGGCTGCAAACAGCAGCAGTGGGGGAAGCCAAGGCTGCTCCTGGGCTGCTGACAGCAAGGAATAAAGATTCCAAGTGACTTCAGTGGCCAGTTCCCACCTTTCTGTCCCCTCCTCACCATCCTCTCACATGTGTTTTGCTCTGCTTGCTCCCGCTCTACAGAAGCATCTCTGAATGCAGCATGAGTGCAGAGCTGCATCGCATCTAATTGAAAGTGATAAATAAATCAAGTAACCCTTTTCCCTACCCACAAGTCATTCCTCTTATAAGCTCCCACCAACACAAACTCACACCCTGGACATCTCCATAGGCAGCTCTGGGCTGTCCCCATCCGTCCAGGACCAGCAGAACTGCTGTTACCCCACTCTCTGTTCAGACCTGCTGCTCCACACTCATCACCTTTACTTCCATATTGACCCCTTTTGCGAGCATCTCTCCCTGTTTTTTAGGTGTTTCTCTTGTCATCCCTTTAGAAAGATACTCAGTACAATATCTTCCCCCCCTCCTTCCTTTCTTCCAGCCCCATTGGAGGAATCTGCTCGGGTAATTTGTGGCAGCAGCGGGTTGCTGGGCCATGCATTATGCATGAGATGCAATCTTTATCTTTGCGCTCCACTGTGTGCATCCTCAAGCAGGAGCAGCATCGTGCCTGCACGCAGAAAGAACATTAGCAGCTCAAAAAACAGCATAGAAAATAGAAAATGCCCATTTATTTAAAGGAAAGTAAAGAAAAACCCACCCTACCCTCCTCTCTTTCAAGCTGCTCTCACTGGGATTGCTGAGCAGCAAAGAGCAGTCATGTTGTTCCCACTTCTATGCTGGGAGCTGCTGTGTTCAGTGTGACACAAGCAGTGTTGGTGGGGAGCCCATAGGTGTCTGTGCACTGTGCAGCATCACCAAAAGCACCCTCAGCTACAGGTGGTGACAACGGGGATGCACCATGTCTTTGCAAAACAGCAAACTTAAAGTAATAAATACATCAAGTAACCCCTTTTCCTGACAGCTACGGGACTGTGGTACCTGTTCGGGGAGGATGCTCCCTCTCTCCATCCCTCCTGGTACCTACATGTGCATATACACATATATGTGCATGCCAACATGGTGGTTTGAGCCCATTCTTTCTTGCTGTTAGGGATCACTAAAGCCTGTATTGGCCATCCCTGTTCACAGCTTTCAGAGCATGTCATGGAGCCGGACCCCAAAGATCACAATTACTGAAGCTTTGAGCCTTTTTGGCAGATCTGCCCCTATTTTAACCCACCCTTTCCCCTCCCAGCACACACACTTTACCTTCTCCTTCCCAAGGGCTGATGCCAGAGCCCTCAGACAGCTACACTGGGGCTCTATGACATGCTATGAAGAGGGGATATGGCAACCACTGGAAGGTCAGATGAGTGGGGGTACACACTGCCAAGTCTTGTATCAAAAGCCTTTGGGTTAAATGCATAAAGCAGAACGACACAGAAGGGATGCAGAAAACTCATAGGCCAAAACTACCCCAGCTCCCACCCCACTGTGTTCAACACTTGGGGGTCATCTACTGCTATTGTAGAGCGGTAAGATGTGAAGCTCATTTTAAAGTCCATTTAAAACCCACCTGTGACCAACCTCAGCTCCTCCATCACCTCCTTTGCACAGGACCACTGTGGACAGGGGGTTCTCCATCTCCACAAGATGGGCTGTGGCCAGCACTGAGCCATCATCACCAGGAACAGGGTGCAAGCTTGGAATGGCTGGAGGAGGAAACAAAGGACAAGAAAACAGGTCTGTTAAATCCCAACAAGAACACAAAGCATGGAAAAGAACCAGGAAGTGGCCCCTAAGAAGGGATAAAGGGGGAAAAATGCCCAGAATGGATAATAGGGAAATGGAAGAAGACCCAAGCAAAGGAAAAAGGAGCAGGAAAAAAGAGAGACCAATAAGGCCAATTATTTTTCATTCTTTGGCTTAGGAACTAATTTATTGCAGCAGTAAATCACGGTTAGGACAGGTAATACCATGCCCAGAGCCTGGATGTTATTTAGACAGCACAATGGTGATAGTAATGCTCAGAAAAGTGGGAAAGTTTAAGTGCCTACAGGCCACATCTCGCTCTGTATGGTCTCCCCTTCACTCAGCACTCGCTTCCCCAAAGCCATGGGGCTTCAGGAGGTGTAGAAGGGGTTTGTGTTCCCTCGCCTTAACATCCCATCGCTGCACTGGGCTCGGGCTGCAACTCCACATCTTCCTCCCTCCCTGCCCCTACACTGTGGTGCTGGGGATGTGCCCACCTGCACGTTAAGCCCCAGCTGTACGTGCTCACTGGTGTGCATCCCACCACACAGGGGCAGCGGGGGTAGAAGGTCTTCAGCAGTGGTTTCTGGTGCAGGGATTTGCTGTAGGAACTGAGGCTGAACCTTTCATCACACCTCCACAGAGCATCTCAGCTGACAGGGAAGAATCCTTACACTGTATAAAGATGGTGTCTGTATAGAAACAGACTTCCCAGGGGTTAGAAGAGGCGAGGGGTTTGTTACAGGAGCTGCTCCATCCCTGCAGCCCTCCTCCACTGCTTCAGTGGAGCACTGAAGCAGCAGTTCATTACGGTATTTGTGCTCCACAATCTCTGAGGAATCACACCCTGATGCTTTACGTGGCCCTGCACCACTCTATGGGGTGCCATCTCCATCCTATGCCCCTTTCCTCCTACCTCGGCTGCAGTTAGACCTGGCACAAGCATCCCATGCACTCCCATAGGATGCAGCCAGGGCACAGGCAAGTGTCTGGGTGCTCATCACTGATCCCTGCTGGCCCGCAAGCCTGCAAGTGGTGTTGTCAGCCTTGAAAAATGATGTCAAGGACGTGACAAACCCAACCTGCCTTGCCTCAAGTCATCAGAGCACGTCACGCATTCTCCAGCAGTCATCTATGAAACTAAAGAACTTCATTGTGCACCCGTCTGGGTGGGAGAGGTGAGCTCTCTGCTTCCCCTGAGCGGACTTTGAGCCCATTTGATCCCAGTTTCCCTTCAGGATCACTTGCTGTGACATCCACATTGTGATCCCAAGGGACCATTTGGCAGATGCAGGAGCATCCCCTTGCAGCTCAGTGTTGAACTTGCAGCCCTCCGCCTGTCCTCAAGGCATGGAAGACACAGAGACTGTGCCACCACACCAACCACTACCAGTGTTGCCTACAGTACACACTGGTGCTCTGACAGTCCCCCACCAGTATTCTGCTTGCCTAAAGCCACATCAGGATGATGGCTTTTTGGGTAGATGGGAATATATTTAAGGAACGTGTTTACTTACATCCTGTACATCACAATAAGCCTATCTCCAGACACTGCATTAGAGAAATGCTGTGATTTGAAAAGTTACTTTGTTCTCCACCTCCTCCAGGCAGAAATGATAATAAAAACCAGCAAACCACTGGTGGATAAGGAGTTAAAAAAGAAGAAGAACCATGCAGCTCTGATTTCCCTATTACTACTGGAGCAGCACACCAAATGCACATGCGGGATAATGAGCTATATCTTGGAGACAGCTATTCATTTATAACACTGGTAAATAAGGGTTGATGGGGACAGAGGAGGTGGTTTAAAGAGCGGTTTGTGTTGCTGAGTCCACCAGATGTCACATTGGCACTTAGAAGCCTGAGGTGGTTTGAAATGCGGTGTGGATTGTCTTGTGTTTGATCTTCTAAACCCGTCTCTATCCATCATCGTCAGCCACTACCAGGATAACGGGACCAGTTTTGATGGGAGCCTGATTGGGTTTTGTTGGTGTAAAGGCAGGGATGCACATGGGCCTGAAACCTGACATTTCTACCTCTCCTGCTGGGAAAATGTGACTTTAAGCAGGAACAGGGTTAACTCCCACCCCAACCCCAATTTGTTTGATGGTATTCAGCCTGCGGAACGGGAAGCATGTTTGCATTTGTGTCTGCTTGAGTGCAGCTCACACGGACCTGCTCCTTGATTGGTTTTAGTTGCACCTGATGGTAATGCAGAGGGAAAGATCGATATGAAGTGAGCTGGCCTGGTAACCTCTGCAAACAGTGCAGGCTTCACATTGAATACAGGGAAACAGAGAAACATCCTGACAGCTCCATGCAGCCGGAGCAGCTTTGTACTGATCTGCTCTCCATGGACCCTCAAGGTCTCCTGCATCGTGCTGGGTTTTCCCTCCCTGATCCACATTTCAGGAATGATTTTGCAGCTCCTGCCAGTCCCTGCCCATAGCAGGGGGCTGAAACTGGATGGTCTGAAAGATCCATTCCAACCCAAACCATTCCATGATCCTATGTCCCCTATAAGACCTCACAGCAGCAACCTCAGTGAGACCAAGAACATCTCCATCCTTTTCTGCATGGACTGCTGAACCCTGGAGCTTCTCTAGTCTGAACCCACCCTCCAAATGGGCTATCTCATACTGCAGTGAGTGGCCACCACGGGCACTGCAAGGCCATCACCCTTGCTGCAGCTCCTCAACCGAGCCTGCAGTGTTCAAACTGACTCCATATTCTATGGAAGCCACCATGGACCTTGCCTCTTGTGAAGGGGAGCAGGAGCTATTCCAGCCTGAGGGAAACCAGAGCTTTAAAGGGGGAGCAGTAATGGGGAAGGGGATCTACTCATCAACTTATGGCTGCATGGTGCTAGCACATAGCTGTGGAAGCCTCTCAGGACCTTGGCCTGGCTCCCTCCCTAAGGAACCCCATCATCTCCCCAAGGACCAGCCGTATGAGTGGCAGCAACACGATTTGGCTCAAGACACCATAGTAATACAGTGTCCATTAAGGTTTTTATTAGCATGAGCTTGTGCAGCAATAGCATCGCTCACAAGTGCCAGTAAAACACACCACGCTGTTAACCAGCCTGTGTATGCCCCATCATTCTTGTGTAAAATACCTCATAAAGTGTTTCAAGTTCTTCTGTCATCTTTTTGCCTTGGCTGTAAAACCAGGCTGGGTTTAAGAGCCAGAGCTCAGCTGAATAGAGCCTGTTACTCGTGGCCAACTTGGATTTTAACTCCATTTTTACTGAAGGCTCCAATGGACCCATTCAAACCCTTGTACGTGTAGGAAGAGGAGGATTCATCTCCAGCAGTGATGGAAGCTGTTTACAGAACATTAGGGAAACAGACCAAAACAGCACCCAAACCCCAGCCCGGTGCTGGTGTTGAGATACACACACAGAAGCTGACCTCTTCCCAGCATTCACCATGTGAGCACTTCATTGTGGAGTCTTGGAATGAAAAACCTAAAACCCAAGCTAAGGTCAGTCAATGCAGTCTGGCTTGTTCCAATGAAGGAATTAACATGAGGACAAAACGCATTCCCTTTAGGATAAACCTCATACAGGATGTTTTTGCATTGACATGGGGAAAGATCAGCATGTGGTCACTCGAAAACCTCTCAGAAAAGGGCAGCTTTATATGGCTGGCAATAAGGATAATGCTGCTGTGCATTAGACAGCCCCTATTATTCCCAGGTAAACCCCACAACCACCTGAACAATGCTGGTCACATTAAAACCTGCCCTGGCTTCACCTTCTTTGCCTGCAGGCTTTTGGAGGGCCACGACTGAATACAGAGGTCAGGGACCAGAGTCAAACAGGCTCAGCTCTTGACCAAGGTTTCTGGTCACAAGGACAGACACACAGACACCCATCACATCCTACAGTGCACGTGCAACACAACCAGGGCTGCGCCGAGCATCACCTGTATCATGTGCCAAGCCCTCCTCCTTCAGCCCTTCACACCCATCCTGCTCTGTCTTACCTGAAGTTGAGACATATCTGTTGCAAAGACCTAACATCAAACCACTTCCTTTGTCTGTCCTTGGGTTACTGCTCCTCGTGTGCTGTTTTTAACCATCTTGTCTGGGTTTTGCCCCCTCTTTTCTTTTACTTCTCCCTTTTTGTCCCTTCAGGAACTGACACAGTTGAGAGAGCACAGAGATTAAACAGTGCAGGATCGCCTCCTGCATTGATAGACTCAGATTCTCATTACACAGAGACCTAAAATACATAAATATTAAAAATCTATATATTAAAACCATCTCAGAAATCTGCATCCCATTAACTCTGGCATAAGGCAAAATGCAAAGCAAAAGAAAGAGAAGCTCACACCATTGGTAGCTTGAAAACAGAGGCAGAGTGAATTAGCATTCTCAGTGTGCAAAGTGAACAGAGCCCTTTGCACCCATACAGAATGGGAGGATGCAGTCAATCCCTCCTCAGAGCTACAATACAAGCCTATGGCCAAGAGGGTCTGGGTGAAGTTGGTAGCAGGGATGAGACGGAGCCCAACTGTGGTGAGCATCAGTTTCTTGCAATTGGAAAACACATGCACCACGCTTGGGAAAACAGGAGTTGAGAGCAGCCTGCCAGGAAACCTCCATGCACAGACAGCTGAAGGGAAGCTGGAATGCAAGGAAGTGACAGGAATCCCATTCCACAGTGCAAAAGGCTTGGTTCTGTCCCCAAGAGGGTAAACCTAGTGGGAAGTGGAGCAGGGTCCATCCAGACCTGGTGAGATGCCAGCAAACCAGGACAGTTTGGCTGTGCACAGCTACCAGTTGTGCTCACAGCCCATCAGCAGCAAAGGGCCCCCCTCTGCCCACCGCATTTCTCCCCCCATTAGTTTGTGTTGGCACAAGCATTAGCACAGAGGAGGACGATGCTCATCCTAGTGTGGGTCCGCATGGTGCTTGGCCCAGTGGGAGCTCAG